TTTTAGTGTCCTCTTATAGTTTCCAATAAATTACTAATTGGCATGTTACCTGAACCATTTTGAGCTTTAGCTGCCTTTTCTTTTTAGTCAATTTCTACTGTAATTAAGATTCAGGATTTTGTATGGAATCAAATTCTATACGCTGCTGACATTTTGCTACTTTTATGACAAACAATTTCGCATTCAGCGTTACTTTCTTTATGAGATAAGCATCTTAAATTATTACACTTATAATTACACGTCATTACCACTCATTGCTTACACTTATAACTGAAAAAAAATAATCTAATTTGTAATTGCATGAATCAAAACAGCGCTACTTATATAAAGTCTTAATCAAAAGAGTTGATTACAAAAATAAAATTTTGTCGCCATGCCGTTAATTTTAGCTAGTAAATAAGTCTTTTTATTGTATGTTTATATAGGTAATACGGAGTAACATTAAAATGGGTGTCATTTTTTCATATTGTCATTATTATCATATACATATATAAGCAAATGTTTATATGTGCAAATTATGATAACAAATATTTTGCAAAGACTAGCTGTAAGTTTCAACGCCAATAAAATTATTTTTTATATCACATGTGATTTGAAAAACATTTCTGTACATCATAGCATCTGTTGAGTTAAAATATTTCAAATTATATTATTTGTAATTTAAGGTTGATATCATACAGACAAATGAAATTATAATTAAAAAAAAACAAACAAAACAATGTTTACACCTTTCCGGAACGAATATTACAAAGAAGAAAAGACAATTGTTGTAAATAGAATGTTGTGTGCGGAAATTCTTGTTATTTTCAAGAAGGATTTAATACACTATCACCGATGTTTTCATTCTTGTTATTAAAAGATCTAAAAATCAAAACGTGTCCTTAATCATAAACTTTTGTCATAAATAAAAAAATATCGTAATCGAAATAATATTGGTCTGAGTGGTATTTATCGGCTATTGAACACCGTAGCCCGAGGGTTTGATTGTTTTTCGCATCAAAACGATCGCTATTATTTCTGAAACAGGTCCAAGAATGACGTTGTCTTACTGCTTGTTATTTTAAGTTGAAGATGGCTTACGGAACAGTACAAAAATCGGTAATCTCATCCGCTCGAAAAAGATACATGGATTTATTCATCTAAGACGTTTTCAACATGCCCATCATCATACATTCATACATTCAAATTTTAACAAAATTATTCATTAACAGAATCATTTATCCGTATAAGTACCAAAGTGTTATTCAATGATTATAAACAAAAATACTAAATCATGCTATGTTTTTAAGGATATAAAGCTATATCTTATGAGACATCAGTAAAAATGATATTGCTGCAATGATCTTATGGTTGATTCTAAAAAAGAGTTGCAATATAGAATGTTATTTAACACACATGAATAATGTACGTAAAGAGAATAAAATGTTACAGAACAAAATAGCATATTCTGCTATTTTAAGTAGGGTTCTATCCGTTTAGCAATCACTTCGTAAATGCGCCATTCGCTTTTAAAGTAATTAACTACACTGTCTATTTCATACAAGCATTTTGGAAGAGATTAGTTTTTCTAAATTCAAGAAATAATTTTTGCATCATATATATATAGCTTTATACATTTTAAGAGAAATACCAGTAACATTGTAATCGATTGGCCAGTACATTGGCCATTAGAGCTGGAAATTATGTGTAATTTGTGGCTTATAATATAAATTAAACAAATAGATTTTTATTAGTACATATACCAATTTATTTACCAATTTGAGATAGAAACATTGTATAAACGTTAAGTGTAAATTATATATAGTTACAATACTCTTCACCTTAACTGAAATAGTTTTTGATACTATGAGAGAATGTAAGAATATTTTTTTAAAAGAACATTTAAAAGAACATATAATCAGTTAAATCATTGTGAGAGCTAACACTAACTGTTTCGTATTTATTCACACAAATTTTGTTGATAAAATAACTTCATTATTAATAGATTTGCACAGATTGTAGACTTAATAATTTTTGTGACCGTTGTTTTATATGTTATTCATTTTTCAAGCAGGTAGATAGTATCTTATTTGTATCATATTATTTCGTAATTGAATTGCATAATATTTCATAAATATATTACAGAATATTTTTCTTATAATCATTTCAATATAAGAATATCGTAAGAAGCAATGCCGCATAACAAATTTGTTCTCTACTTTCATTGGCTGTAAGCATATACCTAGACTTGTTTGGGACGCTTCACTAGCACCTTGTATTATTTGTTTTGCAGCGGTGTTCACTAGCGTGTGTGGCGTTCGCCAACATTTGTTTAGTATAACACTTTTGATTGTTGTAGTATTCAGACATCTGGGTTGGAGGATTCTGAGTAGTGAAAGAATTTAATTCCAGGAAATATTTACTTAACTCAGAGTAGTGTTTAGAAAAAGAAATAACAAAATATTAAAGCAAGCTTGAAACGGCAAAATTTGAACTGTTGCCTTCTTCATTTGATATAGATTTTTTTTAATTAATTTCGGTTCACAGTAAAAGCTTTCGAATGTTTCATATATGGAGAGGATGGTATCAAAGTCAAACATCTCAAATGTTGCCAATAAAACTCAGACTGATATTTGTTTGGATTATAGTGCTCCAGACCTTACTGAAACTTCAAAGGTCCTTATTTACGGATTTCTTATGATTGTCATGGCATTAACAATTGCTTTAAATATAACTCTCATCGTTAAAATAAACTTGAATCCAAAACATAAACTATTCACTCGTTTTTTTCTGACATCTCTGGCATCAGTGGATTTAGGTGTTGGACTGATTATAATGCCGTTCAATATCGCGGACGGGTTCTATGACTTACGGCATTTATTCGGTACTAAAACATGTGCTTTGTTTAACAGTATGGACGTCATGCTGTCTACATCTTCTATTTTACATCTTGGCATCCTAACATACGATCGTTATATAGCGCTTTGCAAGACATTGTCTTATGGAATAAAATGTAATAAAAAATCAATGAAAATATTTTTCTGTCTTAACTGGATACTAGTGACAATTATGTCATTTGGAATCATTCTACCCGGATACCACGAATCAGGAATTGATTATATTGTATTAAATTGTATTTATTCTTCTGCAAATTCATGTGTACATGTGTTTGGTGTTTACTATGCCCTCATTACTTCTGTGATATCATTTTTCTTGCCAGGTGTGCTAATTATTTGTTTCAATATTCGTGTTTTTAAACATGTAAGGTTTCAAAGTCAATACCGAAGGAATATACTTGGAATAAAGATACGTAAAATGATTCGAACAGGAAGGGAGTCTCAGAGCATGCGCGTTGCAAGGACAATTGCTGTTCTTACTGGTTGTTTCTTTCTGTGTTGGTTGCCATTTTTTATAGTCAATGTTATATCTGGATTTATCAGATACAAAGTTCCATTCACACTTGAATTCATTGTACTGTGGTTAGGATATTGTAATTCAGCGATGAATCCGTTACTTTATCTTCTCCTTGAGGGTAAATCATGTATTGGAAAAAGCTGAAATACCAGTTTAAATAGTACAGTAAATTTCAATAGATGTACGTATATGTTACTATGTTATGTGTGAATTTTGATTTATTACTGTAATAAAAAAGGTAATACAACTAATATGAAATGCATGTTTTATTTTGTGCAAGGGCCATCCTTTATAATTATTTGCATTTTTTTAATACTTAGTTTGCAATACGCTTTTTCATGTTAAGACAAAAAGGTTGCTTAAATAATCATTTTACTTGATAAACGTAATTTTTCTCTTGAGTATGTCAAACTCAACTAAAGTATATACATTATAATAATTCTTTACAAGAAAGCATTATTTTGTACTACCAATCGTTAAATACTTTTTGATATAATAAAGTATATATGAATTTAAACATTGATATATTGTTGCTTAACAACTGAATTTACAATTACGATTTCACAATTTGTTTGATGCATTTCACACCAAATCCCTGCCAAAGTCTTGCATATAAAAAGATAAAATTCTTAATCTGTCGGAATCGACATAAAGCGTCTTTGTAGAATACAAGACATATACAGTTTTGTCTAATACATAAATGAGCCGGGCTTTGACAAAACCAACATAGTGCGTATGCGACCAGCAGAGATCGAGACCAGTCTGCGCGTCCGCGCAGTCTCATCAGGATCTATGCTGTTCGTTTACCAACCCTATTACAATTAGAGAAACAGATAGCGAACAGCATGGATCTTGATCAGACTGCGCGGAGGCGCAGGCTGGTCTGGATATATGTTGGTCGCAAACGCATGACGTTGGTTTTGTCTACACGCGGCTCAAATGCTTTTCAATGCAATACTTGATACTTTGTCTGAGGCCCGTAAAGTTTCATGCGGTTTGAATATCTTTTTGTTAAAATACAATTCATTGAGGATTTATGCAAAACATTTTTAACTTTTTGTTACAGACTGTACATTATTACCATTGATACAAAAGGAACCATTTACACGCATTAAAGTAGAAAGGAATACTACCATGAGATGAGGTCATTGATCAACACGAGTCCATTGTGATAGACAATATTCATAAATTAAAATATTGTAAGCCATATCTAACAAAGCACACGAAGCAGAGTCAGCCTCATTTTGGATCTGGCGCAAGAAATAAGACTAAAAGGCGGAGGTCGAAAGCCCAAAAATTTTTGGGCAAAAACCCGCTTAAGACAGAGAAGCAGGGATAGCTCAATTTTTCCCATTTTTACTAGGCCTAAAAATCCATTCAGTCGGCGCCCATAGGGGGGCGAGGGGAGCGCCAAACCCCAAGAATAGGACCCCCTGGGAAAGAAATGAACAGCAAAGCGCTGTTTTTGAAATTTTATATATATAATTTTTAAAAACAAATTCTATTTAGCAAATTTTTTAACTAGAAAAAAAAACTTTTTAATGCTTTTTAAATTAAGAAATATTTTATTGAAAAAATAACAACCAAAAACCAAATTTTTTAGAAATAACAAAAAAAATATTTTGGCACTAAAAACATAGGTCCCGTTTTTGTCACAAAACATATAAAAATTTTTTACCCTTTTGAATCTATTTTTAGTTCAAGAAAAGGGGTGTAGCGCGGGGGCAGTCATTTAAGTCCTTTAAAAAGGTTTCATGAAACCCAAATAAACATGTACGGTTTTTAATTTAAGTTTTACACCCTTTCCCGTTTAAAAGCTCTTAAACGGGTCTTGCGGGGTTTAACAATAGCTTGGGGTAATTGGGTCAACAAACCGAAAACCCGCACCTTTTTCCACTCTTTTAAAAAATTTTTTTCAACATTTTCCCCAAAACCCCTATTGATATACTAGGGGAAAACTTTTCCAAAGAATTTAAAAACGTAGATTAAGTCATGCCTAACGATAGGGGTAAAATTGATACATTTAAGTTGTTAGAAAAACCCCAAAAACTACCACGGTTTTTACGTCATCAATTTTAAAAAAGTTTTTTTTCAAACTTTATTTAAAGTGATATGCCTTTTCAAAGGTAGACAGTGAGTCAAAATAAGTTTACATTTTGCAGTAATGATATATTTCCTTTCAGTTTTAAAACTTACTTCGCATGAATTATTAATAAATCAGTGGCCCTATGATATTTCTGTAAATATCAATCGGAATTTACCTGTAACTTACTGAAATACATGATTATTGTTTCTTATCATATAAAAAGTGTTTACCATTTCTGTTTCGTATCAGAACATAATTACACAAAAAAATACGTTGCCAAATAAAATTTGCAATGTTTTTGATAACATAATTATTGCAGGTGCAAAATAAAGTGCAAGATATTTCTAAATACATTCATCGTGTACTCACAACGTATTAGTAAATCAAAAAAGTAAATATCAACAATGTTGCATTAACATATAGCATCATGTTTTGTAAAACGAAATATTTCTTAAACATTTGCTTAATTACATCCGTTCAGTACAAGACCTCTATCTGATAATGATGTATGTTTGTATCTTTTGTCAATAGTTTCATCTAACATACAATCGCATTTACATTCGAAAATTAATATTCATTTTCCCGAAACTCAGTATATTTTGCCAATCACAATTTAGTTTCCAACATTTGGTAGAGCAAAGGATTTATTGTCGAATTTGCGACAAGGATGGATCCAGACCAGCCTGCGCATCCGCGCAGTCTGATCAGGATCCATGCTGTTCGCTTACCAACTCTATTTCAAGTAGAGAAACTGATAGCGAACAGCATGGATCCTGATCAGACTGCGCAGATAAAGGCATAACCAATAGTCTGACACACAAATCAATTTTTGACAGGGATGTCAGGACACATCTTGTAAAATACTTGTGTTTGCGTCTGTGTAAATTGTACACAATTAAAACAATATTAATTTTAACAAAATTGCCCCTACGCCCCAAAAAAAAAATGAAAACAAAACTAAAAAAACAATTCTCAGATTCGGGGAGCAGAAAAATTTTTTTCAGTACCTGAAAGAAAAAAATGTTTTTCATGCTTTTTCCAAAAATAAATGGCTTAGTTTTAAACAGAATACACAAACCCCGGGAAGCTAAAACTTCTGTAACAAAATTTTTTAAAAATATTTAAAATTTTATTTTAAATCACAGTAAAAAATTTACCAATCGTCCCGTTCAATTAAGGGCCCATTTAATTTTATATTTTTTGAAAAAAAAAATCCAAGCAAAACCTTTCATGATCAATTTTTGAAAATTTATAAGTTTTTTTTGCGAGGAAATTTAAAATCGAGCTAAAACAAAAAATCCCTTTAAAGTTTTTCTGATTTTTACCCCTTTGGATTAGGGCAGTTTTTTATTTTTAAATACAAAAACCTTTTGATAGTTTTACGGGAGACGGCAAATCAATTTAAGACTGGACAAATATTTCCATACATCTAATTTTTTACTAAAAGAACGATGTTTGAAACATTGAATCAATGGGTTCATCTTGTCAGGACCAAAAATATAAAAAACACAGTTAAATAGAAAAGAAAAACACAAATGTAAAATTTCCAAAAGATCAAACGTCTTAGGGTTAATAAAGGGTCTACAAAAAGTCTGCATTCTAATTTTGATTTAACTCCCACCATTATATTTGGGTATAATTATGTTCCCAAAAACATATCAACATGATATTAGATGATGCAACAATACATTAGGAATACATTCGGAAAACATAAAATTGGATATAGATAAAACTTCCCGCAAAATATTTAACAGGAACTTTTGAATTTGGCGCCCCCAATTTACATAAACATCACCGATGTGAAAATATATTAATAACATAGGAATCATATCGATCGCCCTGTCTGCTCAGCATGTCCAATATAAGATTTATTGTAAAGCATTTATGAATGAGGGTCATCTTGATACCAGTTGCAAACCAGAAAACATAAGCTGTACGACACCGACATGGTCTTGAAGCATCTTTTTATGTAAATAAAACTATTGATTTTGACTATTTATTCATGACTAAGCTGTCTTTGTTTATTAATTTATGCAAACATTAATATAAAGAGAAAAAAGAACGCCCAAAAAGGCAAAATTAAAAAAAAGTTGCTAGGTTAGACTGAGCATGTTAATAGGCGATACTGAAAAATTAAGGCTATCGTCCACGGCCGCCCTAGCTCCAGTTTAAGAGAATATACAGAATTTAAAATCTTACATGAAATGGTAACATTTGGAATAAAAAAAGCTGCCGATGTGATCATATGACGGTTATAATTGAACCTTTAATGAGAAAAGTTAGTGCCAGTCCGATCAATGGAATATTGCGCCTGGTTCCATATAAAAGAATGAACTTGAATATAAATAACAATGTAGGAATTAGGTGACAAAACGATTGCTCTTAAACGTACATAAATCTCACAGTTTTAGAGGTTAGAGGTTAGTACCTTAAGGTTTCTTAGTTAAATACAGTTTCTATACATAATAGATATAAAAGTCAAAATTTTCTTAAATTGCCGTTGATCAACATTTGTACATGCATAACTTTGGCAAGATTCCATAATTATCAAATCTCCAAAATACGTTTAATAAAAGTCGGTTAACATTATAATCGAGTCAGCAGACATCCATAGTTTCATGTAATTCATCATCAATTCATATGTACGAATCATTTTGAAAAATGTTCGAAAGTTCTAATCTAAGAAATATACTAAATTATTTTCAGTCCTTCTTTAATAAAAGCAAACAGAAATAGTCCTTTGAAAGATTTCAATTGGTCACAACAACGCAACTGATTATAATTATTTTCTTACAGCAAGTTATCCAAGAACTGAAAATTGATAAGACAAAAAAATAAATGTTATCAGTTAAAACTGTCTCGTTATATATATTTCTGTTTTGATGAACTGGAAAGGCTAATAACTGAGTTGTGAAACAAAAGCACAGCACTTGAGGAACATTGTTGTATTTATTTGACTTAAGTAATATACTGGTATTTTATTTTAGTTTCAGATTCCTTTTAGCATCTTTAAAACAACATCGTCACTGCATCACTTTAGTTTTTTATTGTATATTGTATGGTTACAATAGATAAAGTTTCATCATTCAGAACTGGAACTTTATAATACTACATGATGTCTTAATCTGACTTGCATCACTTCTTTTAGTAAACAGTTGCCATTGAAATATAGTAGAAAAGTCATTGAAATATGGTAGAAAAGTCATCAAGGATTGTAATACAAAAAAATTGTCAGGAAGTTTGATATGTTTGACCAATTTATGTATTATCCATATCCCAATGAAATACAGCAATTGTAATTCATTTGAATTCTATCTTTAGTCTAAGATGGATCGTATCATTAATGATAAATATAGTCTGCCTTCCTGAGATACGATTTCTTGTTGGTATTTGCTATCATATCGCCGTCAAAACAATAAGTATATTCAAAAAGGCCGATAACTCAAATAAGATTAAATCGAATAAACATGATAGATGAATAAAAAATACTTCTTTTTTTGTTCACACTCTTAGCTCCCACTTGAGCTGAAGATTTTGTCTTAAAGCGGTCGAATTCCAGTTCTGCTGTTAATTCACATTTTTTTTATACCATTACATGATATAATGACTACACGCCCGGAGATTATATACATTTACCTACCATTGAATGTTCCTGAAATAAGTGAATGCATGAAAATAGAATAAGCCATGTGCCAATGCAAGTCGATGTGACTTAAAAATGTTATATAGAAATAATGTGCTGGTACTGAGCTGTTCAAATCTACTTATTTGGGCTTGTATCTCCCTTGAAATTAATGTTTTCATATATCTTATTTAATTAGCGTTTAAAATTAAATACTTTATTTTGAGTACTTCCATATAACGTGTTTTTACAAAAAAATGTTTAAATGTTTATAATACCGGTACTTCCGCATTGGCTAAAGATAACATCACGTAAGCAATTCATAAACAATTTTTCATTTTGTACTTTGTATGTCAAGTTTTTATACTTACTATACGAGATTAAGGGAAACCAAAATACTAAACATGTTTAACTATGACAAATTGTAATTTTTACAGTATTTTGAAAGAACGTCATGGTTGATTATACATATTTTGGATTTAGAAACATAATAAGGTAAAAAATAGTGATATTTAATACATTAGT